TTTTACGCTTTTGCGGGCTTTCCAATTTGGAAGCATAGCACCGAGTTCACTGGCATAGTCACGTAATTGAGATGGGTCGGATTCGGCGGACAAGTTATATTTTTCTAGGAACAGATCCAAAATCGAGGTAAAGTTATTAGTTCTGGGCTTTCGGGTTTTTTGGAGAGTTGCCATGATAGATATATATCGATAAGTAGATTGTGATTGTACATTAACCTACTTATTTTTTCAAATCGAAATTAATTATCATGAGTCGGTATATATACTTGAAAATTGAATGGGTGGCGATTATTGTAATTCTATCGAGAAATGGATATGAGTAAGACACGAGATCGATCAGGCACGAAATGCCATTTCTCCCGAAATAAAGTCTTGGAATCTGTAGCTTTACATAATAAAATTACTAAAAATATCAATGGGATCAAAGAGGATATAGCATTACTTAGGCACGCAAGTGCCATTTTTTCAAAATAAGAGGTTTTGGAAAAAATAATCGGTATATGTCAAGCATATGATTATACTTCATGTCTAGAATCGGGTAAGTCGGGTATATGATTCTCAATCATAGCAATTTGTATACACAATTTATCCTGCTTTTTTTGTTGATAATATTCTCTTTTTCGATACTTACTTGCGTGATCCCGGCATGCACCATATTTAGAATAAGTTAGCTTACCACAACCATATTCTTTACAAGGAATCCGTGTAGGAGAATTTCGATGAAGTTTACATCCTTCTGGTTGATTACAACCTCGACCACAGACTTTACCAGTTCTAAGAATATAAGGACAACGATAGAGTCCCATATTTATTGTCAATAATAATGATATAGAATAATTAATTTCATTTTAAAGTTTTTCGGGTCAAGTATAACACTTTTATTTTTGGGTTAAGTATAATTCTTTAGTTTATAACTATATACTACATATACAACTAACGCATATATACAAATCAATAAAATGAGTTTATCTAGTGAAGCAAAAAAATATCTCCATGAATCATTACAACAACAGTGCTTGAATCAAAAGTCGGCCGAATATGGCGAGGCAAAGAAACTCCTCTCTGGTTTAACCGATCTTAATTACAAACCTGGCCATGGAGAACATAGGTATTTTGAATATTTGCTTCCATCTAATGCACGGGGTGAACTTACTTCGGAAGATAATACAAAGAATATAGCACTCTTGGAGGCATATCATCCAGAAGAGATTAATTCTCGATATATAATTCGGGTTGCAGGAAAAGGCTTTACAGCAATAGATCATCCTTCTGAAATTTATAAAATACCTGATGCACATGAATGCATTGACGGGAACCAGCCCCTTCGTCCTATATTGGATATTGATGCAAGGCAAAAACCATATCCTACAAATCCAGAACTTCCTTCTTTAGATGGCGAAAAAATTACTCACGAAGATTTGATGTCTAGAATATTAATTGCCTGTGCAGATGCATTGTATCTTATACCGGGATGTATGGTTTCATTAAATAATTTTGCTTTAGCTAGTTCATCAAATATTGATAAATGTAGCTGGCATATTATTTACCCTTATGCACGATTTATTGATTATAGAGATCTCAAAGGCTTTACGGAAAAAGTCATTGAATTG